GGGGGCCCAGCGCGGGCCCCGGGGCCGAGCGGGCGGCTACTGGCGGCAGGTGTCGTGGAAGGCCTCGAGCGTGCGGAAGTCCCTCCACGTGGGGGGGAGGCCGTCCTGCAGGAACCTCCCGCAGCGCTGGCACGGCGCCTGGAACAGCTTTATGTAACTCCTCAGCCAGGTCTAAAAAGAGAAGCGAGGGAGAGGGAAGCAGTGGGTCTGGGCGCTTCCAATGTCACCTTCCTGGCAAGCTTGGGCGCCCCGGAGGTGGCCGAGACCCCCAGCTTTCACGGAGGCTGCCCGGGGCCAGGCCCGACTCCGCCCGCGCCCGGTGCCGGGCCTCCTGGCCCTTCCCCGGGCCTGGGCTGTGAAGACGGACATTCCCGCTCTCCAGGCAGGCAGAGCCCCGCTGGCCGGGGCCCCGGGGCCGCGCCTGGCCCCGTGGTTCTGAGGACACCGCCTTCCTGTTCCCCGCCGTCCCCGCGGTGACGCCCAGGGCTCCCCGCCCCTCAACGGCTCCCGAGGGCCGGCACCCTCAGGGCGCGGCCGCGTGCCCGGGTCAGCAGTAACGCCGACACGCACCCCAGGCCCAGCAGCAGGGCCCCGCGTCATACATAAGGATGAGACTCACGTAACTCAATTCCCAACCTCAAGGAGACTCGAACACAGCGAACACGAGCCCGAGCCGCCCGGCAGCCGAGCCCGCCCTCCCGACTCAAGGGCAGGGCCCCGTGCGAATGTCCTTCGAGACCGGCTCGCAGAGAGGTGGCTCTGGGAGGGGGCGAGCGGCGGGCGCCAGCCCTCGGTCTCACCAGAGCCTGTCGCCCCCAGCAGCGCTAAACACAGGTGAGCGGCCACCCCGCCCCACATTTACCCTGTTCCGGATCAAGAGTGAAGCCCCTGGAAGCCCGCTGGTCATTAGGGCCCCTGGGCAGACTGGCGAGAGAGCCGACCTCGCCATGTCCAGAGCGCTGGTCAGCTGCCCGCTGACTGCCCCAGCAGACCCCAGGTGCCAGGGACCCGGGGCGGCCTGTTCCCTGCCCAGCTGGGTTTGACCTCTGGAGAGGTGCCAGCAGGTCTGGTGGGCATGTCCAGCATGAGTTAGGGAGGGAGCTGGCAGCAGGGCGCCCAGGCAGCGGCCCTTGTCGTGGCCCTCGGCCCAGGGCTGGCCCCGTGGTAAGTTGGGCTGCATCACTGGCTAAGAGAAGTGCCCATGGCTGGCTGGGGGGGGCCCACCTCAGCGCCAGCTGATGTCCGCTCTAAGAACTCTGGCCTGAGGCCAGCCTCCGACAGCCGAGCACCTGGCCTGCAAAGTTCTGAGCATTTGACAGGAGTGGCTGTTTCGGGGGCCGCTCCTGTCCCCCTGAGGATGAGGCATCCTGGGGGTGGCAAGGCTGTCTCGGTCGGGGCTGCTCGGCCCCGGTCAGGACGCTCTGAAGCCACCCTTGGGCAGCGGCCACAGAAGCTGCAGCTGGCTGGAGGTGGCCTCTCCTGACCCCTTCGCAGGCCGGCAAGGACCAGCGCGGGGTGCCCTCCGGGGCCCACCGCCCCTCCGCCACGCCACAGCGGCCGGGGGTCACGGCAAGGCGAGGTCGGAGCCCACTTACCATGAAGGATCTGACCACGACATCGGGCATCTGGGGCAGCTGGTAGTGGAGCAGGGCGGTGGTGGCGTGGTCCGTCACCTGGGGCCAAGGACAGACACCGAGTTAGCGGCCACCCCAGCCAGCGCCGCCACGGCGGGCGTCTCTGGTACGCGACACATCTGCTTGGGAAACGCTCTTGGGGAAAGGACATCTGAAATGACATCTGAAGCTCGGGAATTAGTTAGCGCGGGGTGGGGAGCGGGGCGGCGCG